AATGCAAACAGAGGGGTCAGGGATGTTCACCCAGCCTGCTTCCCTCCAGGGGAAGATGTTTTCTTGGCACTGCAGCAGGGGAGAGCAGCAAATAACTCCTGTTGTACCCACCTGGAACTGTGACAGTGATGTTTTAATCTTTTGAAGTGAACATGTTCCTGTGGCTGGGTAAAGAATTTGCCTGTGAAATGGCTGATTCTGTTGGTGATACATTCTTCCTTTAATTAAGTAGCTGACTTACCTTGACAATTAATTGGAGTGATGTATGGTTTTTATTAGAAACCCATGACTAATTTTTTCTTGCCGTTCCTGCTATCTTATTGTTCCTGTCTCCCCTCCTCCCGAGTTCTGCTGAGTGCCAGCTGTGTCCTCCAGGCACTGGTGCAGACCAGTGTTCCCTCTTGCTTACCTGTTCCAGATAAAGTCATTGTTTTCAGGTATTTTCCACATCATCTTTCAGAAATTTTCCATTTCATCACAGTTTTGTAATTTTTTTTGTTTTCAGAGTCTGGGATTCTTTACTTAAAAAAACCCCACCAATCACAAACTCCTCAAAACATCAGCACAACACCCCTCACCTTGCCATGTAGTTTGCTTCCTTTAATACCACACTTCCTACTTCATTAAAATAACTGCCAGGTTAAAAAAATCCTCCCTGCAGCCATCCCTGTGCCTGTAATCTGCTAGGAAACTCAAGTGAATTTTATATTTAATTACAACAGGCAAGATTCAAAATGGATCTGACTAAAGACATTTCTGTTAAAATCAGAGCAGCAGCTACAAGGACTCAGTTTGTCCCTTATCCTGCTCTCCCTGGCTGAAAGGAGCAGAGGCTCAATCCTCTCTCTGACCTTGCAACAAATGATGTGGACTATTCTTTACGTTTTTTCCACTTAGGAAGCTTTAGTCTTTTTATAGGAAATTTGTTTCCATGGGGGAGCTTAGGCATGGATGAGTGGGGAACAATGTATTGTTTGTTAAAACAATTTTTTTTTAAAGGGAGTGGGCTTGAAAGGAAGGAAATGTGGTTTAGATTTAAGTTTCTTTTGAAATTTATTCCTCTTCTTTTGCCTCATCCTCCCCACCCCCCAAGATACAAAACAATAATCCTAACAACCAGACCTGCTTTTAACCCCCTGTGTTCTCAGAGGAGTATCCATGTCCTCAGTGGCCACACCAGGTGCCAATATTCAAATCTGAGCACCTATTGGTTCGACCACAGCATCCCAAAAACTCACTTCCTTTTCAAACCAGGACATCCTCAAACTGACTTTTCACCACACATGTCTTTAAAAGATTTGGTGTAATCTGGAAAGCCAGAGGAAGTTTAAAAATCACTGTCTTGTGTATCCTTCCTTTCCCTTCCCTGTCTGGCTTGTTCTCTATCAAGAACATGCAGCTTTTGTCTCAGCTTTCCTAGTCCCTGTGTTTATTTAGTCTGTCTCTGGTGTGTGTGTGTGTAAAGTTTAAGCCTCAGTTTATCCACGTGCTTAAACCTTGTGCTGAACGAGGTCCTTGCATGCTCTGCTCCCTGGGCTGTTCATTCCCAGGGTGGTTCTGGAAGGAAGAGCCCTGTGGGGTCAGGTGGGGGTGCAGGTTCTGGGGGAGGAAGCTCAAGGCAGGAATACAGTTTAATTTGTAATGGGCTGTATTTAAAGCAGGCAGTTGGCTGGAAATGTCTCTTTCCTTTCCCTGCAGGTGTGTGGCAGAGCTGCTGTGTGACAATCTCTGCTGCTGCCATGGCTGACCCCGTGCCCGAGGACAGCGTGTCCCAGGTGCCCGAGCTGTGCTGTGAGTGTGGCCAGGCCCACCCCTTGCTGGACAATCACCTGTACAACTTCCAGGACGAGGTGGACGATGAGCTCATCTGCCACATCTGCCTGCAGCCCCTGCTGCAGCCCATGGACACGCCCTGTGGGCACACCTACTGCTTCAAGTGCCTGGAGAACTTCATGCAGGAGTACAGCTTCTGCCCCATGGACCGCAAGAAGCTCTCCTTCCAGCAGTGCCACAAGTCCAGCCTGCTGGTGAGGAACCTGCTGGATAAGCTGCTTGTGCTGTGTCCTTTCAAGGCTGAGTGCCAGCAGAGCATGCAGCGCTGTGAGCTGGAAGCTCACCTGCAGAACAGGTGCATTCCCCTTTCCATGCTGTCGTTGCCAGGGTGCTGTGCTGCTTATCAGAACCCTCTGTTCCCAGAGCAGCTCCCTGAGCTGGGGCAAGGTGGGACACCAGAGCAGGCAGGGTGAGGCTGCAGAGGTGGGTGGGTGAGGACAGTGTAATTGTGTGTGTGCTCTGAGCTGCTCACCTTCAGCCTGTCTGCAGATGCTAAACCTGTCAAACACCCAGACATCTGTGGGTCCCGAGCTGGGCTGCCAGCTGTGGAGTTGTTACAAACAAACAAGCTTATTCTTGTTTCCCTTGTGCAGAGAAGAAAGGCACAAAGTCAAGGCTCTGAAAGCAAGGATTGTGCAGTGCTGCCAGTTTAATTGGTCCAATTAAGATGTGCAATACGTAAGGCTTTGATTCAAATAGAGCAAGTCCCTCCAAGCTGCACATTATGCACTTGCTGAAACACCTACTTATAATTCCATTATCTTCTCTCATTCTTTTGCTGAGAAAGAGAAGCAAATGAAAATTACTATGGTGGTTTTTTTCTGTTCCTCTTGTGCAGAGGAAGGGAGACTTGTTGGTGCTTCCCTGCTGGCTGGGCTGTTGGCAGGCAGGACATTGTCACTTTAAAGGGAGTGCAGGTGACAGAGCCTTGCCATGGTGCATGGAGAACCCTTGTTCCTGCCTGGTTAATGATTGCAGGGAGGGGAGCTAAGGGCAAGCCCTGCTGCAGGTGGAACAGAGCTTCCTTGGCAAGGTGCATTTGTCAGCAGTGGGAAGTGCCACAGGCTTGTTTCATTCAGCTCTGTTGTAGTTTGTTGTGGCAATGACATGTTTTTAAAATAAGCCAGCCAGGGAGCAGATACACTTAGGATACCTTTGCAGCTCCATCCTAACAAAGGATGGACCCTTGTGTTATCATTGTCTTCAGTCCCCATGAGCTGAGAGTTTGTGTTAGAGCCAGGGGAAGGGATGGAAGGTGCTTGGGTGCCCCTTTCCCTTCAGTGAAAGTTTATAATCTGCTTTTTCTTGAGCAGCCCTTTGTCCTGGCTGCTCAGGCTGGGGCCATGGCTCACACCAGGGCTGGGCCTCCCTCTGCTCTGCAAATCTGCCCTGCTATCAGTAAACTCCTGTCACTCTGTAATCCCTCTGGCACGGCAGTTACACACAGGGGAGGGAGAGAGGCACCTCCAATGTTTACATTAGGACCTGCCTGGAAACTGTAGCATTCTCCTATATATTCCACAGTTGTTTGTATCTTTCTTGGGGACAGAGTATTCTAGGATTCCAGGCTGTTTCACCTGGGCTCTGGGTGCAACTGGATCATCAGACTGAAAAAAAAAACAGATAAGAAAATTGCACTGGGATTAGTGTGTTCTCTTGTTTTAAGTGAGATTAACTGATAGGAGAAGATTTAAGGAAATAAGAAGCACATAGTAACTTATTTTCTTGGGGGATTTCCCTGCCTTTTGCAAATTGAATTTGTGTTTTGATATATTAAGAGAGGGACGTGCACAAGAGGATCATTCAGCTTTTGTCATTAAGTTCAGGGATATTTTACTGCTTGGAGAATAAATGAGCAGAAATAAACCAGAGGAAGTAATACTGGCATGAGATTTCTTTAGCCAGAGTGTAAATAGTAGAGTTTAATTTGAAAAGTGACTCTGGTAAACACCCAATACCACTCATGTCTCTGAAAGTGATGCTTTTGCATTCATCACCTCCTCACCTTTTTTATAAATATTTGTGATAAAAGAGCTGTTTTTCCTCACCCATTAGTGCTGAGACAGGCTGCTGATGTATCTACATCCAATTACATCCCAGTTCTGGGACCTGTGCCCTCTGGGGAGCAGCCAGTGGGATCAGGAATTCAGCTACTCCCATTCAGGTAGAGCCACCCCCTGCATGGCCTGGGAGTGCACCAGGTCCTGGGTCAGGTCTCATTTCTCATTCCACAACAGAAAATTCCCAATCCTCCCTTGCTGCTCCTGTGTGTAGCTGGTGTGTTAAAACAAAGCCTAATTCAAAGCTGAGCTTGAAACCTGAGCCACTTTCTTTGTATCAAGGTACAGTTCACAGTGATCTCTACTACGTCAGAGCTCAGTATTTGCTTATATTTAATAGGGATTGTTTTCTTTATGGATTGTTTACCAGGGAAATATTTAGCAAAGGAGACTCCTGTTTCTATTACATTCTTATTTTTCAATTAATTTGCTTGATAATTTCAGAAGTGGTAAAATAACAAACCACTGCACTTAAGCTGATACTTGTATAAGTAGAAACTGAAGGTCAAATGAGAATCAGTTTTATCATCTGAGAAACCAGGAGTGCACTGGTGAGATCTGGAAGCAGCTTCTTCCCACAGGTTTGTCAGAGCTCTCATGTGCTGGCTCACCTGGCCAGGCAGAGACAGTCACTGACAGTCCCTGCCAATCTCTCTGCAGGTGTCCTGGCTTTAAGAAATACAAATCTGAGCTCCAGAGGAAAAGGAGCCCCATTTCCAAAGGGAAGGAAGAGCCTCCTGCCAAGGGGGACACAAACTCACCCAAGGATCCAGAGCTCCCAGGTGGAGGCTCCTCACTTGTGGCAGAAAGCTCTGGAGCTGCTGTGGTGTCACTGGGGACTGCAGAGCCTGGACTGGTCAATCCAGCTTTTGAGGAGACTGAAGAAGGTGAGAGTTTGGTACAGAAGTGGAACTATGTATTTACGTTTCATGATACACCAATGAGGCAATTATCTCAGGAAATTCAATTTGTAAGTGCCCCCAGCACTGTCAGACATCATCAATGCTACTCAGCCATTAGTGGTCATGTCTTCACCAGAAGAGAGATTCATTCATGTGCATCAGGGGTGGCAGAGTCTGCTCACAGGCACAGAACTGTACAAAACCATTTGGAGAAACTCTGTGAGATTGCAGGGAGTACTTGCAGTGTTCTGTGGAGAAACAAAGGCAGTCCCTGTCAGTGTGAACGTGGAGCACTTAAAGCCCTTGCAGAAGCCAGATAATTAGTAACTAGGAAGTGTTCCAGGTTCTTGTTAATCTTGTTAGGAAAGTTAAATATACAGTCAGTTTCCTGGAGTGGTCAGTACCTCCCTCCTGGTGTTTTTGTAGCATAAGTTAGGTTTTGATTCACAGGCAGCTCTGGAAGCATTGCAGATCAAATCAGCATCTCCACTTCAGTGTGGCAGCCTTGTCTCAGCTTGGTAGGAGGCAGCAGCGTGGAAACCTCAGTGCCTTGTGTCAGAGTTAGGCTCAGCTTCAGCCCCTGTGCCTGGGACAGAGGTAACTCACAGGTCAGTTCAGTTCCCTGTTGGCTTTCTCCCCAAGCACACCTGGAGCAGGTTCTGCATCCCTGGTGTGACACCTGCCCTTCACCCTGTGCTGGGCCTGCCTCAGTGTCCCTGGGCTGGGGATCTCAGCAACTTTCATCTTCAAAGTGCAGCATTGCTTCATCTCCATGCTGTGAAACACCAGACATTCCTCCTGCTCTCCAGGGAGGATGGGAAAAGGGGAGCAAAGGAAATTGGAGGAAGGAAGTTGCAAAGCAGTAATTACAGCTGGGTAGTCCCTTTCCCTCATGGGCATCATGGAAACTGGAATTTATTATGTGTGTGCTCCTAGCAGGCCAGATATCACAAGAGAAAAACAAATCTCTAAATATAGCCAAACCATACTGAATGCCTTTTAATAAATCCCAAGCAACAACAATAAAGAGTTTGAATTCACCAAAAGCTAGGAGAAAATAGGAAAAATTCTGGAGAACCTCTAAAGAAACAGAGGGGTTTTAAGCTTTTTATCTGACCTTAGGTCTCCTGATAGGTGCTTTCCCTCCAGATTGAACACAACCTGAATCTTGAGGTGCTGTGAAAAGGAAAATTCTATTAATGTGTTGTTTTTTCTCTTCAATTTCCACAACCAGACCTTCCTCACAGAACCAGTCTTGTGGCTGAAACTACCACCATCGAGATCCACCGGGAGGATCCGGAGGAAGAGCTGGGCATGAGGATAGTTGGGGGTAAGGACACCCCCCTGGGGAACATCGTTGTTCAGGAGGTGCTGAGGGACTCTGTGATTGCTGCTGATGGAAGAATTGCTCCTGGAGACCACATCCTTGAGGTACAGAAACCCCCAGTGCTTCCCTTGGCTGGGAGAGGAGAGTGCCTGGAGAAGCTGGGAAATCTCTGCAGCTCAGGCTTTTAGAGCACTGCTCAGACCTCTGTGTCAGCAGCACTGTGTGTCTGCTGGGGCTCAGGAGCACTGCTGGCATTCCTTCCACTCAGACTCATATTTCCCTTGCATATTTTGACAGCTTTTTGAAATGTAGGCCGTTTTGGACAAAGTAAAAGATTCCTACCTGATAAATTTCACACAGCAGCCCCATTTCTCTGCTCTAGTTAGGAAGTCTCATAATTGCCTGCTCCACTGTGTTGCTTAAGCTGCATATTCTCCGTGGGCAGGTCCAGGGTGAGAGCTGCTGACTGGCACTGAGTGTCAGCTCCAAAATGAGTAAATGCAGAGCTCCAGCCCCAGCTGACCCACAGCCAGGGCACTGCCCACACTGGCAGGGCTCTGTGGCCCTGGGTGACCAAGGTGACACCTTGTACACACGGTGACAATGGTTAGCACCTCCAGCCATGGCTGCCCAGTCATCTGCCAAGCCATAAATCCTCCTTGTCCCATGGGATTGGGCACCAGGAGACCTGGCAGCCCCCACACAAGTGGCTGATGAGATCTCTGAGTTGGTTTCTCAGGCAGACCAATGGAGTGACTCCTGCTGTATACAGATGGATTGTCCATGTCTCAGTCTCAGCAAATAGGGCAGGTCCCACACTTAGGAGCCCTGTTAACATCCTAAAAGACTGCATGGACTCTTATGTGAAACAGGAAAGGCAAAAGGTTGCCTTCTCAGAGTCACCCTGGTAATCACATAATTAAGTGGATGATTCCAGAAGCTTGTAGACTATGGACCACTCAGAAGTGGAGATTTGGGTCTGCTCCATGCTGGAAATTAAGGAAAAGCAGATCTGCATTTACATGGCATGGAAGGAATGAGTGAACATTTTTAGGTTTGTTAGCTGTGTGGGTTGTCCTGTCTTGTCCCTGTCCTCAGTCATTCACCAGTTACAGTCTAATTCCATCAGCTTTCCTCATTCTGTTTTAGCAAACTTTGCTCCCTAATCAGAGTCAGAGATTGCACAGGGAGTTTTCCATCCTGCCCCAGCCTGGCTGTGCCCCACAGTGTGGACAGTGCCTAATTAACGTGGGCTCTGATTAGTGAGTGCTTTGTTTGTCTTTGTAGGTGAATGGCGTCAACATCAGCAGCGTGACTCACTGCCAGGCTGTCTCCTTCCTGCGCCACCCAGGGCCTGTTCTGCACCTCCTGGTGCTGCAGGAGAAGGGCTTTTCCAGCAGGACTGCCCAGCAGGATCCCAGTGCCACCAGCAGGGAGGTGATCCACGTCACCCTGGTGAAGAGAGACCGATCGGAGCCCCTGGGAATCAAACTGATCAGGAAGACTGACGAGGCAGGGATCTTTATTCTGGATCTCTTAGAGGGGGGCTTGGCAGCCAAGAATGGGAAGCTGAGTCGGAATGACAGAGTGCTTTCAATAAATGGCCAGGATTTGAGGCAAGGAACTCCTGAGGCTGCTGCCCAGATCATCCAGGTGAGTTCAGACATGGAAATGGCTGTGAGTGGCTGCTGGCAGGGTTCCTGTTCTGAGCCAGGGCTAGCAGAACACACCAGGACAAGCTGCATTCCCCCAAATCTCTGTCACGGAAAGTGACTTCCCTCTGGATGTGTGGGAAGATAAACACCAGGAGTGGGAATCCGTGGTGAGTCAGCCCTGACAGGTCTGAGGGGAAGCAGTGGCTCCTTGCACAGGAGTTCACCTGAGGAGATTGCAGCTCCTGTGTGCTGCTTGCAGGAAATGCTGGGATGCCCTGGGTGGATTCATGCAGCAGACAGGGAGGGATCAGGGCAGCCTCTTGTGCTTCCAGCAGTCACACTGAAGGTGCTGGCTGGGGGTGGGATGGGCTGGCAGCACAGACAGATCCCTTAGGGCTTCAAATCAGACCATTCTCCCCATTTTACCTGTATTTGTGAAGGGACACTGGAAAACGTGGGGCACCTCAGGCTAAAAGCATTCCAAGGTACTGAATGGGTAGAAGAGGGGTGGTCTCTCCCTGTGGAATGTGCTCCTCTTGCAGCATGCCAGAGGTTTTGGTGGAAGGAGTGGGCAAGGAATTCTAGTTAAAGGATGAAGGACTGCTGCATGTGCAGCAGATATCACACAGATCAGTTTAAATTCTTTATCTCCCCAGGCGAGTGCCTCCAGCTTGTGTTTTTATCTCCAGATCCTGACACAATGCTCCTCATCCCATTCTGTTTATATCCCAGAAAGGATGTGAGGTCAGCAGGAGGGAGAGGCAGCTCTCCTCACAGTTATCAGAGCAGTGCAGTGCCATGGGAGAAAGAGCAGAGTTCCAGCACTGAGCTCCTTTTTCATGTTTGCTTCTGTTCTGTGGCCTCTTAGAATTTGTTTGCATCCCACAAGTGCTGCTGCATTCCTGCTGCAGTGTGCACACACAACTCCCATATGAGGAACTCTTTTGATCCCACTGGAACCAGCAAGCAAAGTCCAGAACTGGCTTCATGAGGTTTGGGGTTGAATCTCTTTGGGAGTGACATTTGTGTAAAACTGACAGCTTTCCAAACATGATCTGTTCCTCTGAGGGCTAATTGAAATCCTTGTTTGAATATAACTTTAAAAATCCCTCTTCCAAGGCCAGGAATTCACTCTGGCACCAGGGGAGCAGGGTGCTGTGGCAAGGAGTGAGAGCAGCAGCTGCATTTCTGCCATGCAGGGCAGGAAACAGCCGAGTGAGCACCGGGCCCTGCCCCAGCCAGTCCCTCACAATGAGGTTCTGTCAGGTGATCTGAGGGAACAAACCCAGAGAGGGCAGCAGGAACAATGGGAGCACTTCCCCTGCAGCCCTGCCAAGGCCAGACCAGCAGCTGGTGAAGTGTTTAACCAGAGGTACCCTGGGGAAAAAATGGATGGGAGATGGTGAACAATAGATGAACAAAGCTGGGAGGGAAAGAGCTTTAACAACTTCCTGTGCAAGAAAAGCATCCAGTGCTTGTGTGGTCACTGTGTGTGGAGCAGCCAGGGTTCCAGCTCTGGTCACTCTGGGGCACAATGCAAGATGCTATTTTGGTTGTTTGGAGCAAAGTGCAGGAATTAATCATCCACCTTTGGCATTTGTGGGTGAGGGAGGCACGAGTGAAGCCTGCCTTACTCTGTTCTCTGTTCCTTCTGACTCATGTTTGCTAATTCCCTTTTTCTTTTTCCAATCACATTCCCTGGCTCATCACAAAAGACTTTGCATCACATTGAGGAGCTGGTGGAGGAACAGAGAGCCTCTGTAGGAACTGATGCCAGCCCTTCTCTCTCCCCAAGGCAACGAGGGCTGTCCCTCATTTCTAACCCATTTCTCTTTTTAATTTCCACTCCTTGTTTCTCTGGGCAGACCACGGAATCCAGAGTGAACTTTGTGATCCTGAGGCAGTCTGGGCTGCAGCTGGGGGAGCCAGGGGAGGATGGCAGCACCTCCAACAGCAGCAGCAGCAGCAGCAGCAATGGGGGCAGCCCCGTGCACCACCGGAGGCGACCAGAGCAGAGCCACTACAGGAGGAAATCCACCTACCAGAAGGTGGGGCTGGGAAATGAGGCCAGGGTGCTGCTTGTTCCTGGTTTAGCAAATGCATTGTGCTGTTCTGGGATGGTGTTTTATCACAGAAGGCTGATCAACAGCTCTGTTTCTGCTTGGGCAGGTTTGGGGCTTTTGGTACTGAAAAACCACTTTGTCATCTATAGGGAAACATCATTTGAAGGGAAAAATGTGACAAAATTTCTTCAGTGTTGGTGCAGAGCTGGTGTTTAATAATTTGGAAAGGGCAATAAGGAATTTGCCATCCATGAGATATTTTGGGATTGGCTTCTTGACATCCATCAAGCTCTGCACGTTGAGGGTGTTGCAGGGACACCCAGCTGGGCTGGTGTGGGGCCAGAGCCCTTTATGGTCAGGAGGAGAATCCCCAGGTGCCCCCATGGTGCTGCTGAGGCTGCAGAGTGGCTCTGCCACCCCTCTGTGGGCACAGCAAACTGCAGAGCAAGAGGACAATCAATCCCAATGTGCTGAGCCCAGAGAGAATTCTGTGTGCAGAATTCTGAGTGACAGACCTGCTGCAGCTGCTCAGAGTGCTGTGTTTCAGTGGCCCTGGAGCTCAGGGAGTTCCTGTCCTGTGGGCTGGAGTGTTGTTCCTGCATTGAAATCCCTGAGTAGCATTTACACCCTGTTGTACAGCCTGTGCTCTGATGTGTGCCTTCACTGCAGCCTCAGCATTCAATCAGGGAGAGCTTCCCTGCTTGGCATGAGAAGCCCTGAGCTTCTTCCTCAGTGCAGAATTCCCCTCCTCAGAGGGAGCAAATGGATTTGGGATCATCAGGACAGCACTGAGGCTTCACCTTAGAAATGCTGCTTTGTATTCCCACCCTGCAAGGACATGGGAAGCTGACTTTGCCCTCCAGCAACATTGCTGGAATGCTGTGGATGAAGGAGACAAATGGTGCTGGGCTTCTCCTGTTGAATGCATGAATGAAGTGCATTTTGTGCTGTCATTGCTTTGTAGGATTTGCCTCAGGGATATGTAAGTCATGAGAAGACAGTTGCAATAAAAAAGGAGCCAAAGGAATCTTTGGGAATCACAATTGGAGGTGGAAGGGATAACAAAAACAAGCTCCCTATCTATGTGACAAGTGTGCAGCCCATTGGATGCCTCTTCAGGGATGGCAGAATCAAGAGAGGTAAGGGAGCCTCTCAGACCTTTTATCCTGTGGGGTATTTTCAATGGAAGCTGGGCTTGGACACTGGGAGAGGCTGGAAAAGGGCTCCCATGACCCCTTGAGGCTGAAATGGGCTCCAGAGCCCAGGTCTGTAACAATCCCATTTTATTTCATCAACAGGGGATGTCCTTCTGAGCATCAATGGCATCGATTTGACTCATCTGAACTACTATGAAGCTGTCTCAGCTCTGAAATCCAATGCAGCCTCCCACTCAGTCACACTGAAAGCCTTGGAAATCCTGTCCCTGAACTGCCCAGAGCCAGCCCTGGACATCAGGGAGCAGGGGTTCAGCTGGTCTCCCCTCTGGATCACGTGGCTGGGATTGCCCAGGTATGTGTGGCAGGGACTGCATGCAGAGCTGTTCATGACAGGGTTGACTTTCACTCAAACACTAGAAATTAATGACTTTGTTGATGAACTTGGAAGCATTCCTGGTATTCCCGTTAAGTGAAAGGCAGTGGAAAGCCTCATTTGCCAATGAGATCATAGAATAATGAGTACATAAGGAAATTCCACTGTATTTCTGGAGTGACATCATTCCCACACTCCTGTTGGACAGTAACCATGCTTTAGAGGCCCTGAAACCCCTTTTTAAAAGAGAAATAGTCAATGTTAGATACAGTCCTTGCTAAATTACTGACTGAAATCCCTCTGGGGCTCTTTCTGCATCCCCTAACCCAAGCCAAGAGACACCTGGGCTGTCTGGGAGTTTCTAATCTGATCATCTCACTTAGGGGCAGACATTCTTTCAGTCCAACCCTTCTTGGCTGTTGTAACTGTGTCACCTTCAGCACAAAGCAGAAATGATTCTGCACAGTTGAGTTTTTCTGCTGCCAAGCTTTACAGGACAGGTTTTAACCTGGTAATTCCAAGAGAAGCTTGAATTTCCCTCTCCTTCCTGGAGGGGTGAACCTCTGGCTCCCTCCCTTTAGCAGTTACATCAAAACACTGAGAAGCAGAGTCAGTTGTCATCATCCCAGCTGACTGCAGGAGCATCTGCAGGTGGATCAGAAAGCCAAAGCTGCTGTGGGAAGCTTGGATCATTTACAGCCTTGTTCTTTGAGACACCTAAAGAAGAACCACTCACAAAGCCTCTGTTGTGTTACTCAGCAGCCTGGAAAGAAATGCTCAACAAGCCAGGCCAAGGCAAGGCAGCTTTTGTGTCTCCTGTACCTGGCCTGTGCTCAGCAGCTCCTCCCACCTCCTCTGCTGCTCCAGGCTGGCCCTGAGCTGCACCTGAGAGCCCAGAGCAGGGCACAAACCCTGAGCTGCTGCTGCAGTGAGCTACAGCAAGGCAGAGCCTGCCTGGGCTTCTCTGCTTCCTTTCCCACTTTTTCTGCCTGTCAGGTGCCTTGCAGGCTCTCCATGCTCTGGGCAGGGACTGGAATCTTCTCTGCTCCTGGGTCTGCTGCCTTCACTTCAGGAGTGTCCTGACATCCCCTGCATTTAATGCATTGCTGGGAACTCCTTTGCTGCTGGGATTGTTCTCCCTTCTTTTGACTCCTGAAGCAAGAAGTGATTCCAGATTCTTTTACTCCAGCCTGGGTTCTGGCCTTGGAGTGTGTCTGCAGTTCTGGCTGTGAGGGTTGGTAGGAGCACTCAGCAAGGATCCACTTTGGGATCTGACAGCACCTTCCTCCTGTTTCCAGCACTAAAAAGGGCTGGAATTCCTGTGCTTCCTCCCTGCCTCTCCCAGGGAGACCTGGTGGCCTCTGGCTGGTCACCCACAGGGTGTTTGGCACCTGGGCACGTTCAGGGTGCTCTGGCACTCAGGCAGGTGCAGCTGCAGTGAGGTCCCAGTGCCATCCCTGCTCTGGGGTGGTTCATTGCAGAGCTCCTGTCCCACCCAAACTGCTTTCCTTTGCACAGGAGCAAACCCCCAGGGCTGCAGGGGAATGTCCATTGCCCTGTGGCCCTGACAGACCCCGTGTGCAGCTCACTGGCACAGAAAACCCCAGACAGGTGCCCAGACTGGAGCCAGCACTGTTCCACTGGCATCTGCTCCTGGTGGCTGCCCTGGCCCCAGTGCTGGGGTGTCCTGCAGGGTGAAAGCTCAAAGCTAATGGCATGTGCAATTTTGGGTTTGTTCAGCTTTTTTTTCCTCAGTTATTCCTCTGCTCCAGCAGAAATGTCCCTTTCCTTTTAGAGGAATCTATTTCTTTCTAGTTTGAACCCAGAACTGCTGCTGAAAGGAGTGAGTTGAACTGAGTGCTCAGGGCTAGGGAAGTGAATTTGATCCTTGCTACACTTGAGCCCACAGTGTTTCATTCAGGCCTTGATTCTTGTACCTGTGATTTCTGTTCTGTCAAACAGAAACTTTGGTTTCTCCCTAGCATTGTGTTAAATCCACACCACTGACAGTATAAAATACCATCTCAAAAGCTGGTTTGGACTGGGGTCATGTTCTAATCCAGCACACCCTGGATCCCAAAGGTACCAGAAACAGAAGTTTAGATTGATTATCTTTTCTCTCTAAAAGAAAGCACAGTGCTCTGTGTGGCTCGTGGAGAAGCATTTTCCTGCCTCCCTCTTGCCTGGGGTTTCTGTGACTCCAGCCTGCCTCTTCCCACAAGAAGCATGAGGAGCTCCCAGTCCCACCCCTGCAGCTGAGCAGGGCCCAGGAACTGCCAGCTCAGCAGCGTGCTTGGCACCAGAAACCCTGCACCTCAACCTTCCCTAAACTCTCCCATTCTTTTCCCACAGTCATTTTTGATTGTGGGAAATTAAAATTTTTCCTCTAGAACCCCTTTTCAATATGGAAAATGGATTCCTAGCAGGCAGCCCTTTCCAGCTCCTGGAGAAACGTGCCTGGTGTTTTTATTTATGTTCTGTGCTGACGCAGCCACTGCTGCTCTCGGGCTATTCATTTGCAGCAGCTGCCACAGCCATGGCTCAGAGCTGTGATTTTGCACTTGTGTGGCACCGGTGGAAGGAAAGCATGGAGGAATCAGCGAGCTCCAGCTGGGACTCGCTCCAGCTGGGACTCCTGGTGTTTATGTGTGAAAAACTCCTACAAAAGTAAATTACAGTTTGAAAGTACATAATTGGATCTTTCTCCTGGTGAGAAGTTAACTGGGAAGGCTTTTGAAATCTGAAACTCCTCAGCAAACTGCTCAAGCAAAGCCCTTGGGGCAAAAACGTTTATTAGGAAAAGTTTAGCTGCTGGAATAGCTCAGTGGGTGATGATGAGCAGCAGTTTCACAGCTCCGGTGCCAGGGCACGGAGAGCTCCTGCCACACCCTCAGTGCCACCTCGGGGCTCTGTGCCAGCAGCCCGGGCAGCGCTGCTGGCACTGCCATCTCCCAGTGCCCCAGCTCCCTGAGGACACAAACCTCACTGCAGGGATCCAGAACCAGGAGCTCTCCCCAAGGAGCCCAGCACAGAATGGACATCCTGGATCCTGCAGG